TTATATCTTACAACACACAATTATTTAAATGGCGGTAGACTTTTATTAAACAAAATTATAACACTAAAATAGACGTATAAACACTAAAAGAAAATATATGTATATACAGTAAGGAAAAATAAAATAATCGAAGTAAACATAATACACGATGACAACAGCGGCGGGGTGTAGCGGTCGTGTAGCGTATCGCGGACTAGACAGTCTGAACTGAACTAACTGAACTGACTGATTCTTCCGATATATATATAGCTCCGATAAGGCTCTCGCTAATTCTAGAATATTCTATACCCGCGTAGGTTATCTTATGGCGTTATCGAAGTTTCTCGAAGGTTTTTGATAACGAGAACATTCGAGAATATTCGTTGCGTATGTTTTGGTCGCTACAAAAAAAATAAAAAAATTTATCGCAAACATTAAATTTTTTGTTGAATTTCGGCAGTCATTTACAAATGTAAGATAAGGTGTCGGATCAAATTTTTTTTTTTTCAGTTTAAAGTATATGACATAACCTTTGATTTAATATATGTTTAAAGAACGCAGTATTTCCGGAACATTTTCAAAAGTTAAGTTGAAAAAGTTAGTTTTTGTAAAAAAGTTGCTATTTTAAATTCCCTCCAGTGAGCAGATTAAGTGTTAGATTTTCAAAAAAATGATATCAAATGAAAGGGAAATATTTAAGGTTTTAGTATAAAAAAAGAATGTCTAAGTGTTGATTTTCAATTTAGTTATATGGTTAAAGGCGTATTGTATATGCAATAATAACAAAATACAAAAAGTCTCGAAATATCTTTCAGAATGGCTTTACGATCAATGTAATAGGGTTACTTAGAAATAAGAATACAATGCCTATTTGAAGTGTAGATTAACATATAAACATACTACTACAGTTAAGTTTTCTCATGTTAAATTAATATAATGAGTTATTAGTCGGGTTTTTATTTGTATTGGGTCTGTTTGCAAGTACAAAATTTTTATTTTAATTCTTGCCCGAGAAAATTAGTGAGTTTTTGTTTAAAAAAATGCTCATTTTTTAGTTACAGAATTTATAATTCTAACAAAAATATTTAATTCCATAACTGAATGAAAAAGTAAAATTTGTTGTTTTTGGCCAAAGAAGAACTGTCGTGGATAGTGATGATGTCATTTAAAGAGATGATAATTTGTGGATTTAATCTGTATTCGACGTTGACAGATATTATTACATTCAGTGATGCGAAAACACATTTATAATTCATAAGGCCCTCTTAAAACAACAAATGTAAATCAACGTCAAGTGACTTAAGTCAGAGCACAGTTTAAGCGACTGTATGTGTTCATTCCGGTTTATATTTTCTTTAAGATGCGTTAAACAAAGGTACTCGACATTAAAATTGTGCTTACTTACTTGCTAGATGACTTTTTATGGATTTACAGAATTTTTTTCTTGTTTTATATAGTCCAATAAAAGTAATAAGAGAAACTCACTATTAAATGTTGAAAACATTTGGAAAAAAAATGTTTTAAATAAATAGGTATCACAAAGAAACAGGTATATGTTTGTTAGTGATTAAAAAAAAATGCCTATCCTTAGTTTCATATATTAGAAATCTATTAATTAGTCTGTTAATATCATAAATTAATTATTTTAAACTATTTTGGGTTCATCTGAGTTTATTGTTAACATTTTGTATCGAATTAAATTTGATGGTTGTTTTTCACTTTAAAATTTTAATTACTTGTAAAATAATAAAAATTAATTACTAAGGCTTTTTGTTAATAATTATTTAGTAAAAAAACATTGGAAAAATATATAAAAAAAAATTAATATATAAGATTCAACATAATTAGTCATAAAATATACCAATAGAAAAATGTTCGAAGGTATATTTAAATATGTAATTAATAATAAGCTTAAATGTTTTACAAATAAAATTTGAATAAATTATTTATCAGTATTACATAAATTTATTTTATTATTTATTTATGAGAATTATATATTCTTATTATATTTATTTTAAAATATTGGAGGTTTCTCTTAAACGGTTTTGAAGGATTATTCGAAATAATTTTCAACAGAAATAAAATGTTTACAATACTTTGTAAATATTTAAGAATAGTTACCAATTGTATCTAATGAATAACATTTAGCTATTAAGTTTTAAATTTAGACTTGAATTTCTATAGAAACACTTGAATATCAAATATACTGTTTAGAAATAACATTTGAGAAATAATAAAAGAAAAATTATTTTTTTTAGGAATAAGTTGGATTTTTTAATAAAATTTATTTAAATTATTTTAACCAATATTTCGTTAATTGTGTAGTCATATTTTTTATAGTAAATAAAGTATTTGTTTTTTAAAAATTGAAATCCATTTAGTTAATTAAAATAAATTATATTATATAATTAATGGTTGGATGAATTATCGGGTTATAAAATAAAGGCTATTGTTTGTTTACTTAATGATAAATTATTTTATTAGAAATGTAATGTAATCTAAAAGAACAAATTAAATTAAAATCATTTCTTTGTAATCCTTTTTATATAGTTTGATAAAAATATACCTCTATTAGGTGGAATTTAAAATTTACTTTATAAAGCTTTATATTAAAAAATAAAAATCCAAATAGTGTTTTATTTTGCAAATTCAAATTTTAAATGGAAATTGTACTTTAATAAGATTATTAGCTATTTAAAAAATTATAATGCACTATAATTAAAGAAATTTAAAGAAAATTTACTCAATTTTTAAAATTATTAAAATTTTATAATTTTACACAAAAAATGTTAAAAAATTTGTAATTGCCTTTTATTTAGTTGTACGTCCATTCAGAAAAAATGAATTAAAAATTATTAATATGAGCACTGCTTAACAATATTTTTAAAAATAATTTAATATCAATTACTTGAATGAAAACTTCGCACATCTAGATCATTATTACTAGCTACTCGATTGCTATCTTTGAACGTTCTTTTTTCATCTTCAAACGTGACTACTTTGTCACGATTAGATCGAACGATACAAGACTGTTTAGCTGGTGGTGTTACCGAAACAACACGTAAAGCGTATGGTGGTAGAGGTGGTAGTTTCTCCAGTTCAATTGTTGAACAGAGATTGTGATCACTAGCACTGTGGGGTATCAAATATTCCGTAGTAGTAGCTGCGGACGCTATTGTTCTGCTGATTGGCTGAACGGAACAGCGACCAACGGAAGCTCGTTGAAATGAAAGTGGAGGAAGAGGAACTTTGCACTGCGATGTCGATCGTGATCGTCGAATGCCGGTGGTGGTAGTGGCAATTTTTTAACAAGAGAAGGTGACAGTGGCGATCGATCGATTACCGTCACCGGCCCGAAATCTGTTTGTCAGGAGTTATGCGTCGGGCTGACAATTAATACAGAATCATTACTGTTAGCCGCATCCTCAAACTCTTTTCTACTTGACCACCACCACCATCGGAAATTTCGGGCAATGGCGGCTAATTCGTCTTGTAGTAATTGGAAGCACATGGCTACAATAGCCATGCCAATGAGTATGTAGCCAGACGACACAAAGACCGATACGTCTTTGGTAGCTTCTACCCCACCGGGTACTAACTCGCCAAAACCGATAGTGCCTAGACTGGTGAAGCAAAAGTATGACCCTTCCAACAACGTCCATTTTTCGAGCTTGTGGTAGATATACGCCCCCAAAGTTACGTATAATCCAACGATGGAAAGTGACAATAGGATGGGCACTCGTTTTTGGTTACTAAAACTAATATTTGCAGACGAAAGAGAAATAGGTGGTAATGCAGCAGAACCAGTTATCGTTTCAAAGTCATATCGATAGTAGTCGATGAAATCACCTCCACTTCCTCCAGTAGTTCCTATGTGGTTACTTGACACCGTATTAGGAGGAAGACGTTTACGTCTGCTATCCTGACGTTCATCATCTTCTTCATCTCGACGGGACGGAACAGAACACATCCTTGAGTAGATGCGTCTGAAATTCTTGGCCAAAGTTTCACCCATAGTTGAAAGATATAATAACATTAATGTTATGCCAATTAATGCATACAGAATGGTAATAACTCGACCCCAGGGTGTTTGTGGAGTCACATTACATAACCTGAAATATACATTTTTTAACATTACTACATTAAAACATGTTTTTAAAGAAATTATTAATTTCAATCAGTTGGTGAATATAAAATGAATAGTGTATAAAAACAATAATTTAATAACTTTACTTAATACGTTGGTTTCTGATTTAAATATTTGAACAAAAGATATTTTCAAAAATTGGATAATGAATCACAAATTTTATTCTATAAAAAATACAATAAAAAATATTTACCAGACAATAACAAAATAACATATGTGCTATTTGTAAACCGGTATAATGGTTTACAAAAAAAAATTCGCTGGATCCTATAATATATTTTATATTCATCTGATTAACAAAATATAATAGTAAAAAAAAATGTAGTGAGCAAAAATATAAAGTAATCATATTCGTCCTGTAGTATTGTATAATTTCGAATTATAAAATGAATATAATAAATAATAATAAAAATATTGAATTAACAGATTATTTTCATAGTAATTATAAATATATCTCATACTGAATGGAATGGTTAAGTATTTTTTTCAAAATAGCTAATCTATTCTATATATTTCTAAAGAAATATTATAAATGTTTACATAGAATAAATAAATTTATTACGAATTATTTGGATTTATAGATTTTAATATTTAAAGAGAGTACTTAAATTCATCGAGTGAGAAAGAGGTATGGGAGGCTGTGGCATCAATGAAAAATAATAAAGAAGTAGGACCAGATGAAGTGCCAGTAGAAGTATGGAAAATAAAATCTTATTAAAAGGGAAAATTCCAAATGAATGGAGGAATAGTATTGTGATGCCAATATTTAAAGGTAAAGGTAACATACAGGAGTGTGGAAATTATAGAGATATAAAGCTTATGAGTCATAGTATGAAAATTTGGGAAAAAGTAATAGATAAGAAAATAAAAACCCAGCACAAAGGGGTCGCGGCATAATTGGATCAAGTATGATGTTATCTGACAGTGATTAAAATCACTATCAAAATAAAACGCTTCGATGCAAATCTTTAGATAGTGTTTAATTAAAAAAAATACACTTTTCAATAAGTTATAGTATTATAAAGTTAAAAATGTGAAAAATAAAATCGATAGTGTTTAATTTTAAAAAATTGGTGGATTATTCCAAAAGCTACATGATCTGCTAGTTCATTATTAATATCCTAATTATGATAAAGTATGCCGAATGAAAAAGGGATTATTAAAAAATATTATTTCTTATAAAACAATAATGTTGATCCATACACTTTTCAATATGTCATAGCATTATAAAATTAAAAATGTAAAAAATAAAATCGAGAATTTTCACACAAAAATAGCATTTGGTAGCCATTTTCATCATGAAGACAAGTCTAGAGGTCAATTTTTTTTTTTCATAATAAAGTATATTACATTAGCTTTAATTTAAGATATATATATAAAAGTGTCAGACCTTTCGGAACATTTTAAAAAGTTATGTTGAAAAAGTAAATTTGTTGTGAAAAAGTTGTCATTTTAAATCCCCCCGTGTGGGCAGAAAAAAGGTGAAATTTACAAAAAAAATATACAAAATAATAGGTAAAGACATCAAGCATCTATAAAAAAAAAAATTTATTAATATGTTCAATTTTGAAAAAGTTACGGCAGTTTTTAGTAAAAAAAATTGAAAAATTTTTGAAAATTAGCGGTTTTTAAATTTGTAATTTTTTTGGAGGTTTCCCCCATTTACGGGGAACAAGGAAATTTTTTTCAATTTTTAATGGTAATGTCTTCGACTAGATACGATTTGTGATCTTTTGACGTATCGTTGAAAGAAATCTGTTCGGTGAGAGCTGAGAAAAAGTGATAACAGACACAAAAAAAAAAAAAACACATCATAGTAAAACCAATACCTTCTCAGCTTCGCATCAAAGCTAAAAAAATTCCATTATCTGAACATTTTTGACACATAATTACTTCATCAAATCCATTAAACTAATTAAAAACGTAAATAATTACAAAGAACTTAATATAAGGGAGACAATAGAAATATTTAAAAATGAAAACACTTTAATTAATTGGGATCTTGGCCCACTGAAAAATGCATTATTAAACTTGTATAAACTGGCAAAATGTGATAATATTACTTAGTGATGACGTTACTAGGTGATAAGGTCACTAAGGATGTATAACAGAGTATTTTCTAGTCGAGGTATTAGTATGTGTTTAGCGTTGAGAATGATAGTATTGTTTCCGAAATACGTATCCTCAACTTTTCAGTAATTTTTTTGTGGCTTTTAAGTTTAATATTTTTAATATAGTTTTAATTTTGTTTGTATAATTAAAACAATTTCTCTACCAAAAATTTGTTTTGATTAATTTGTGTCCTATCTATAGACTTTAAACTATATCTGTATTTAAGAGAACTGTTGGGGCTAATCCTAGAATTCGCTTTAAAGTTTTATTATTTAATTTTCTTATTTAAAATTAATAATTTTTCTTAATCAAAGATTTACAAAAAAAAAAATGGGAAAATTTAAAAGCCAATTTTAAACGAAAATGTATTACTAAATCAGGAAAAGTTGCTTATTTATGAAAGTTTGCAAAATCGTTAGATTTTTTACGTCTAACAATGGAGAATAGAAAGTTAGTAATTACTTAAATTTTCATATGGATAATTCATTCAATTAATTATATGATATGATTTATAACTGAAGGCAACATGAGTGATTAAGTAATAAAAACACATCCGATATCGAAGGTGAGAACGATGTGTTGATTTTTGGGAAAACTTAAATGAAGAAAATTTAATAAACCCTTATAAATCAAATGAGGTGAAAAACCGCAAAACAAATGAAAAAAATGAAAAAATAAAACGTTTCTAAAAAGAAAAAACAAGAATTTCCTTTAGAGACAAACTTAATAAATTATTTACGTAACAGACTAAAAGATGAAGATCCGGATAAATTTTTTCTTTTACTCTTGTTTCCTCAATTCAAATCACTACCTCAAAATAAAAAAAAACAATTATTTATTTCAAATCTATTCAGCAATTTTCTTCTTACTATAAATTCTCAATTTCAAACTATTGTTCCGATCAATTAAAAATTTAACTATTTTAAGTCATTAGTCTTAAATAATCCTATATTCCGCACTCCTTTTTCTAGCTTTTATAATAGACAACCAACTTCTTATACTCAATTTCCATCTTAAGTATCATAATCTTCCTGTGCTTCATTTAATTAAAATTTAAATCCTTATCCTGAATAACATGTTTCAACTTCCTTTATTTCGACCTAATCTTATTTACAAAACAATATCCCTGTATTTCCTACGCTCGCAATAGATTTATCCAACTCCCAAAGAGCTAAAATTGATCCAAATAAGTAATCTTCATCTTCTCCAGTTTCTCATATCAATCCACAGTATACATAAAATAATTAGTCTCGCGTACAAGCACATTATCGCATTGGTAATTATTTCTTTAAATATTTATTTCAACAATATTGTTATTATTAGATATGTTTTTTTACTTTAATTGTAATCCATGAAGTTCTTTAAATTTTTATGTTACTTTTATTTATTGTGTATAAAACATACATAAGTTTTGTGAAACAAAAAAAATGTTTTAGTTATTTTTAATTATTTTTATTAACACGTATGTAAGATGCAAAGAGTGTTATTAGTATGTATATTTATATATGTATACATATGTTTTTTTGTTATTTAATACCATCATTATTTCGTTAATTGAATAATAAAAAAAAGTCTTTATTTTAATCGTATTTTTTAATTAAATATATCATCATATAATTGTGTTGAAAAAAATATGTTACATATGATAACTCTTATTCATAAAATTATGAATAGATGAATAAATGATACTCGAAATAAAAGCAGAATTATACAAATGTATTCTGTATTATCTACATTAAAATTTGCAAAAATATTTATACTAACTTTAAACTAGTAAATGATTTATCTTAGTGTAAGTAAATGTCAAACGTTCGTCGAGTAGAATAAATAACCTTAGAACTTTATTTTTCTTCAATTTATTTCCTACAAGTTGTAACTACACAGTAAAAATAATATCTTATATTTTTTTGTTCTTGTATAAATATTCAGTCATTTATTGAATAATAAATAATTTATTAATACACTATTCCTTTTTCTAATTAGTTAATTTTGTTTTGTACTCTTATATTATTATTACTATATTGACACTGCACCGCCCTACGCTCTAGTCTGGTGCTCAACCGTGTCTCTCTCGATATCAGCCGTCAAGCTATTAATAGGACAATCAGGTGTCTCTCCGCCCATGACACCACGACAAGACCGCCGCCGAATATGGATGACTGATAATGCTTTCTGTTCAGTTTCCGACGTTAGCTTTGAATGGTTGTTGCGTTTTTCTTTTCCTATTGTTGGACTTTCGTTTCTTTTATTTTTTCTCTTCTCGTTAAAGACGTATACGTATCTACATATATATATCTTCGTGTACCACCGTGTGCCTTTTGCGGCATTAAAAATAATTTTTGCTAATAAAAATAAAAAACAAGAATGAAAAAATATTTTTTAAATTTAATAATTCTACAAATTTTAGGTTAACGACAATATACCAACACTTAGTTTAATTTAATAAATATTAAATATAACCGCACTGTAAAAATTGTATTTTATGAAATTATACATCACTAATAACCCAGAATTCTACGAAGCTATTCTGGCTAAATACGTTGATATAGTAAACCGTGAACTCTTATTTCTACATAAAATAATAATTTAACCGTGTAGGAAAAACTACTGAATTATTTCATCAAATATCGTAAATTTTAAAGTAGCGTATCTTATTTCAAATTCATAATTTTTTTTTTTTTTTGCTAAACATGTTTTTTATTACGAACAATAATATGGGATTACCATTTGAAAATCTAAAGTTGATACAAGTTCTAAGGTTAACGACAATATACCAACACTTAGTTTAATTTAATGAATATTAAATATAACCGCACTGCAAAATTTGTATTTTATGAAATTATATATCGCTAATAACCCCGAGTTCTACGAAGCATGGCGAGTGAATTTATATGTATTTATATACAGGGTGTTCAGTAAGTCAGGAAACGGGTTTCTATTGTTCTCATTGTTTGTAACAATTTACAAAAATTTCATAAAGTGACTTACTGAACACCCTGTATACAGTATATTATGCACCTGCATTCATCAAAAAACACAATATGGTGCCTGATAAAATCAAATCATAGGATCAAGTAAAACCGCCCTCGAAACGTGACCCACAATGGCGATTAAAAATTAATCTCTTTCTAACAGGTATAAACAGGTTAAAATATTATATGACACCACTTCAATATATGAAGTATCGCTTCCAATCGTGTAACAAAAAAATTTACTAAAACAGATGATGTAGTGATGTAAAAGTAAACTAATGTCATATAGACGCAGTAGTATACAACTGAACTAATATAGCACTAATGAATTAATGATGTTTAGAAACAATGACGTAAAGGGAAACTATTGTCGTGGTAACAACTATTATGAAAATTATGCTAAAACTCCGATCACGCTGTTCTAAAAAAAAACATGTATACACTACTACTCCCTGAAATTAAATGAAAAATGTTATTTTGGTGTAAAAATCACAATTTTTCGTGTTATAATTTTATATATTCATTATTTTTTTTAATGTATGACCTACGCCGGTCTGCTCAGAAAATAGTAATGTGGGTTTTTTCTGACCCAGACCCTAAAGTCTGCGCACGTATATGATTATAGTAGTATAATTGTAGTATACTATAATATATTATTTGTATCCAATCAATAAAAATAATTTTCAAAAATGGACTTTTAGTATAATAGGTTAGAATTTTATTGTACATAGATGGTTAATAGATTTTTGTTTTTTAGATGTAATATTTTGGCTAAAATAAGGTTTGGACATAACAGTTTTTAGATATTTTGAGTTAAACCTAGAGTTCTAAATCAAATAAAACAATGTAAGATAACAGGTTTGTATGTCTCTGTTTACAAACTTTATTTGATGTTTAACGATATATTCATTATATATTTTGTATTAATTTTTATATTGATGCAAATTTGAGAAGCTATTAATTTTACTATCATTTACTTATTATTATTACTGTCATACAACTATTTTAATTCTTTATTCTCTCACGAGAAAATTCTCAGTTCCTACTTGTCTAAAAATGTCTTTCAATATTTTAGAAGATTCCATATTATACTTAGTTAAAAAATACTATCCTGATATATTAATACATTGTTTTTTTATTGTAAAAGTTTAATAGTCAGAAGCTTATTTATTTATATAAATGTGTTTGCTAAATTGATATCATTTATGACATATATCATATTCTAAATTTAAATTCTAAATTTATTGTCATAAATATGAATGCTTGCAGTCATACGTGTAATTTTTTAAGCATATAATTGGTTTTATAAATTGTCTTATTAAAATGATTGTACATAAAATATTTTATATTTTTGTTCTTGGGTTAAATTTTTCCACAGCATTAGAATATACGAAGGTAAATTGTAATTTTACCAAGTACATTTTGAATTATTTTAAACATAATGAAAAATACTTGCAAAAATTGGAAGAGAACAAATCAAATATTTTGAGACGTGATTTAAAAATGTATGGACGAGCAATACAATCTCATGGTGAAATTGTAATTGCTATGTTAGAAGCATTAAGATCAGAAGATCGGTCAAATTATCCATCGCCTTTAATGGAGGTAAATTTATACTTGAATAACGTTTCAGGATCTGTAGAAATGAGTTTTAAAAATAAAAGTGGTAAATTTGATGAGTCCAATAGAATATTAAATTTACTAGAAGGATTTTTGATGATACATAAAGCTATAGTAAATCGTTTGGAAAATTTTGTGTACAATACATGTTCTGATGTATATTTTGAGGAAGTATTTACGAATTGCCCAGATTTCAATAAGGAAAAAGATTATAGAATTAAATTTCTCCCTGATATTGTAGAAAAACTAAAAAACAGGTTGTCTATTAATGACTTGCAACACAAAGACGAAAGATTGAAATTAAAACACAATGAAGTATTTAGAATATTGCAATTAGCAATGAAAAATGATTGTCGATGGGATTTCCATCCGAAAAAATTGTTATACTACGATTTAATGATGGGACTGCAAAAATTTGATGAACGAAATCTGATGTCAGGTGTACAATATAGAAAATTACCAGATGTAAAAGATTGTCGGGCCGTTAATGTTATAGATTATTTTAAATTTGCACCACTAACATATAAGTGTCCTGATGATTCTTATTTGACACTTTTTGACGTGTTTCGTTACATGAAATACAATTTTGATTCGAAACAATTACAAAGATATCAAGAGCTAGTGCTAGCTTCAGCGATTCGGCCAATTTTATTAGTTGTCCGTATGTATATTTCATTTTTAAAGAGGATAAATGATTTTTGCAATTCTAAATGGTATAATAAAAATAAAAATAAAAATAATCTAGATGAAATCCGTAATAAAATGGCAGAAATTGGTCCAATAATAATTAACCAAATTAAATATTTTAAAAATACAAATCTACTACAATCACAACCGATAATCTATTTAGATAGACTTTGTAACGATATTCGTAAAATTGTGGATGGAGATGTATCTCAGTCAGGTCATACATTCAATACAATAATGTCACATACGAAGACCTTTTTTTCAAATAATAAATTAAACACTTATGATGGTAAAATAACGGAATATAAAATTAAACATATTAATACTATAGTTAATCTATATAACGAGTTTTCTCAACTTGTTAGTGGCATGTCAACATACCTAATCGAATTGGACAAATACAAAGAATCACTTAATACAGTGAATGAAACACGAAATATATATTCCTTATACTTTAAAGATAACAGTAATGACATTTTTAAGCCCCAATCAGATTTTATAAGTAAGTTTAAATTTTTCTAAGCAATATTTTAATAGTTAGGATTAATATTACATATGTCAAAAACGTACAGAATTGTATTATATATTGTTAATTTTAACTAAAATAATTTTATTAATTTATATAAAGCCTATACATCTTTCTGGGATTTAATATAAGTTAGCTTCGATGCAAAGCTGAGAAGGTATTAATTTTACTATGATGTTTTCTTTTGTGTCTGTAAAAAATTAACTTTTTCAACTTAACTTTTGAAAATGTTCCGGAAAGACTGACACTTTTATATATATCTTAAATTAAAGCTATTGTAATATACTTTAATTTGAAAAAAAAAAATTTGTCCTCTGGACTTGTCTTCATGGTGAAAATGACTACCGTATGCAAAAATATGCTATTTTTTTGAAAAAATTCTTGATATTATATTTTACATTTTTTAACATTATGATGCTATAACTTTTTTAAAAAATGCATGAATCAATTCTATTTTTTAATAATAAATACTTTATATATATCTCTTTCATTCGACATACTTTTGGAAAAATGTATGGATCAATATTATTATTTTTTTATAATAAATATTTATATACCCCTTTCATCTGGCACGCTTTTTTGTAAATCGAATCATACCCCTTTAACAAGGGGGTCAAAACTTTAAACATGCGTATTGTTACTAAAATATTTTAAATTTAATTTTTGAAAGTATTTATGAAATAGTGACACTTTTATATATATCTTAAATTAAAGCTTATGTAATATACTTTAATTTGAAAAAAAAAAATTTGACCTCTGGATTTGTCTTCATGGTGAAAATGACTACCGTATGCAAAAATATGCTATTTTTGTGAAAAAATTCTTGATATTATATTTTACATTTTTTAACATTATGTTGCTATAACTTTTTAAAAAATGCATGAATCAACTTTATTCTTTAATGATAAATACTTTATATATACTTCTTTCATTCGACATACTTTTTTTTAAAATCGGACCATTTCCCTTTATACAGGGGGGGTGCAAACCTTTTAAAATGCGTATAGAAAGTAGAACTTTTTCAACTTAACTTTTGAAAATGTTCCGGAAAGACTGACACTTTTATATATATCTTAAATTAAAGCTTATGTAATATACTTTAATTTGAAAAAAAAAAATTTGACCTCTGGATTTGTCTTCATGGTAAAAATGACTACCGTATTCAAAAATATGCTATTTTTGTGTTAAAATTCTGGGTTTTGTATTTTATTTTATTTTAAAATACCTGACAAGGGGAGTACAGATTTTCATAAATATTATATAAATTAAAATTAATATAGCATAGAAAATTAAACTTATTTAAATTTGTTTGCTTCTTTTAAGTCGAGAAAAATAACTTTGAAATTTGAACTAACTTAAATAGCCAATTTTTCATACATTGGTAACAACATACGGTTGCTGAGTTAGTAAAATTTATGTTTTACGCGCTTGGGATTCGAGGTTCCATCCCGCGTATGGCTATAAATTTTTTGCATTTTTTCTTAATTCTTTTTAAGTTAGAATAAATTTTCAACTGCTTTGATTTTTATCTCATTTAGATTCAATAACTTCAATAAAGATCAAGGATCCTATCACTTTAGTCGCCCCTTGTAAGAAGAAATTTCTTATTCGTATTAAAATTATTTTACTATATTTTAAGTTTTAGCTTCGATGCAAAGCTGAGAAGATATTTTTTTGTGACTATCATTTATTTTCTCTCCTCTAACTTGACCTACTTTTTTCAACGATACGTCAAATGACTACAATTCGTATCTAGATATTACCCTCAAAAATTGAAAAAAAAATTCTAATTTATCAATTAAATAGTTACTTATTACATGTTCTCCATAAAGACAATTAAAATCATTTTACTTTGTAATTTAATAAATTTTTTACTGTATTTGTGTGTGCTACTACTATACTATAATATTACAAATTTTTTTGTAACACGTTGCTATATAAATCATTTCTAAAAAAAATTATTGTTTTTTCTCCTGAATTAACAATTGATTTTTACAAATATAATCAAATTTTATAATACACTCAAATGAGTAAATCTTTTTAACAACTTTGTTTTGATTGGTTCATTTAGTTAAAGTAAATCATTAAAATGAATTAAGTTCTCAATATTTCAATTGTAGAATCTTTTCAAACAACAAAAGTTACTAGGAAATTATTACTAAACTTCTATTTAAGTTATCTATTACCATAAAAATGCAAAAAAATATTGAGCTTTTCTGATAAATTTAGAATAAATAGTAATTATAAAACTTTCTGACTGCATATTGATCTTAACGATACAATTTTTTTAATTGTCATAAAATTTTCTATTTAATTATGTCAATGTCAAACTTACCAATTGAGCTAAAAGTTATGGTAAAATAAATTTTTTTTTTTNCCAATTGAGCTAAAAGTTATGGAAAAATAAATTATTTTTTTTTATTATAAACATTTACAACAACCTATTTTAAACGATTAAAAAAATAGGTTAAATATGTCATTTTCCTTATTTTTAACATATTAATAATCAAAATCAGCATTAATTTAATATCAAATCAGTATTAATTTAAAACAATTTNTTCCTTAACACATTAATAATCAAAATCAGTATTATTTTTTTTTGTTATTAATTATTGTTTTTTATATGTAAATACTATTTTTTAATAATATTAAAACTTAGAAGTGATAGAAAAAGTCTAATTGCACATTTGAAAACATCGCGAAAAGTTGATTTAGAATAGTATATTTTTGTTTCTGATGAAAGTTCCTTGTAGTCCAGTGTATAAAACTNTCCTAATGGAAGTTCCTTGTATTACAGAGTATAAAACTTATAACTTTGTTAACCGTTAAACTTTATCAAAAATGACCAAATCAGTATAATTTTTTTTTTTAGTTATAGTAAATCATAAAAATTAATTCAGTTCTGGATATTTCAATTGTAGAATCTTTTTAAATATCAAAAATTACTTAGAAATTATTACTATGATTTCTATTTAAGTGTTCTATTACGATAAAAATGCAAAAAANTACTATGATTTCTATTTAAGTGTTCTATTACGATAAAAATGCATAAAATAATGAATTTTTCTGATAAATTTACAATAAATAGTAATTATAAAATTTCCTGACTGCATATTAATCTTAAAAATAACATTGTTTTAATTCTCATAAAATTTTCTATTTAATGATTCATTCTAGTCAACGAAGGAGTAATTTTGCAGAATAGCAGNAGGATTCATTCTAGTCGACGAAGGAGTAATTTTGGCGAATAGCAGAAAAAATTCCCAACCAATTTTTTTTTTTTTTTAAAGTAGGCAATTGGTGGATTATTCCAAAAGCAACATCAACTCTTATTTCTTTAATTATATCCTGATTAATAGTTCTTTGATTTTAAAATATAATATATGAATAAATACTAATTATAGTTTTTAAATTTAGTATGAAATTCATATTTTATATTAGCTTCGATGCGAAGCTGAGAAGGTATTGGTTTTACTAAGATGTGTTTTTTTTTGTGTCTGTTAACACTTTTTCTCAGCTCTCACCGAACGGATTTTTTTCAACGATACGTCAAAAGATCACAAATCGTATCTAGTCGAAGACATTACCCTTAAAAATTGAAAAAAATTTCCTCGTTCCCCGTAAATGGGGGAAACCTCCAAAAAAATTACAAATTTAAAAATCGCTAATTTTCGAAATTTTTTCAATTTTTTTTACTAAAAACTGCCGTAACTTTTTCAAAAATGAACNTTTTCAATTTTTTTTACTAAAAACTGCCGTAACTTTTTCAAAATTGAACATATTAATACATTTTTTTTTTTATAGATGCTTGATGTCTTTACCTATTATTTGGTATATTTTTTTTTGTAAATTTCACCTTTTTTCTGCCCACACGGGGGGATTTAAAATGACAACTTTTTTACAAAAAATTAAATTTTTCAACTTAACTTTTGAAAATGTTCCGGAAGGTCTGACACTTTTATATATATATATCTTAAATTAAAGCTAATGTAATGTACTTTAATTTGAAAAAAAAAAATTTGACCTCTGGACTTGTCTTCATGGTGAAAACG